GATGTGCTCTATTTGGGAGTGCCCCATTAAATGCTGGAACCATCTTTACAGTTCTCGCAACACTAAGAAGCATGGCAGAACCTGTTAGAACGTTACCTGAGGCACTTTCAATTCTTATACAAGTCAAGGTTTCTTTTGATAGAATCAATACCTTTCTGCTTGATGACGAACTCAAGAATGATGAAGTAAGGAGAATTCCCCTCCAGAATTCTGATAGAAGTGTGAAAGTACAAGCAGGCAATTTCGGTTGGGATCCTGAAATAACAAGTCCAACCCTTAGAAATGTGGACTTGGAAATAAAAAGAGGGCAGAAAATAGCTGTTTGTGGACCAGTCGCGGCTGGAAAATCCTCAATCTTGTATGCAATTCTAGGAGAGATACCAAAACTTTCAGGAACTGTGAGTTACAAAACAAATACTCTACTAGTACATTAGTAATCATTATGTCTTCTTGTCACTGATTTTATTTCTTTTCCCTTAATGCTTGAAAATAGGTTCACGTGTTCGGATCCATTGCCTATGTTTCTCAAACTTCTTGGATCCAGAGTGGGACAATTCGTGACAACATACTCTATGGAAAGCCAATGGACACCGGCAAATATGAAAAGGCCATTAAATCTTGTGCTCTGGATAAAGATATCAACAGTTTTGACCATGGTGATCTTACAGAAATAGGGCAGAGAGGGATAAACATGAGTGGAGGACAGAAGCAGAGGATTCAACTTGCTCGAGCTGTCTATAATGACGCTGATATCTATCTTCTTGATGACCCTTTCAGTGCTGTAGATGCACATACAGCTTCTGTTTTGTTCAATGTTAGAAAAAACCTTCGAGCTTCTTCATTGAGTATGAAACTGTGGTGTCTAACACAATAATCTATTTGCTTTGCAGCATAATCAAGTTTACTTTTTATGATTGCAGGATTGCGTCATGGCTGCTCTAGAGAAGAAAACTGTCATCCTGGTGACTCATCAAGTGGAGTTTCTCTCAGAAGTTGATAGAATTCTGGTAAAAGCGAAGTCTGAATTTATGTTCATATATTCTTCTTGTATCTACGTGTTTTTCTGGTTTTTCAAAAAGATGATTCGACTTTTGCTTAGGTTATGGAGGGTGGAAATATTACTCAATCAGGAAGCTACGAAGAGCTATTAATGGCTGGGACAGCATTTGAGCGACTTGTGAATGCTCATAGACATTCCATAACAGCATTGGGTTCTTTGAATAGTGAAGGTCAAGGAGAATCTCAAGGGCTAGCTCCAGAGATGTCTAATGGATCTTATCCAACTAAACAAAACAGTGAGGGGGAAATCTCGGTGAAGGGTCCGCCTGGAGTACAATTAACACAAGATGAAGAAACGGAGATTGGCGATGTTGGATGGAAGCCATTCCTGGATTATGTTTCTGTCTCAAAAGGATCTCTTCATCTATCTTTAAGTCTTTTAACTCAGTTTCTCTTTGTCATTCTTCAGGCCGCTTCTACCTATTGGCTGGCATTTGCTATTCAAATTCCTAGCATGACCAGCAGCTTGTTGATAGGGGTTTACACAGGAATTGCAACACTTAGTACTGGTTTTGTATTTTTTAGATCTCATTTTGCTGCTCATCTAGGACTAAGAGCATCTAAAGCCTTCTTCTCTGGTCTCACAAATGCCATTTTCAAAGCTCCAATGCTTTTCTTTGATTCTACTCCTGTTGGGAGGATTTTGACCCGAGTAAGACTAAAATTGTCGATGAGTACCCTCTGAGTCTTTTGCTAATATACTAAAATTCGTTTGATGTAAACTCTTGCAGGCTTCATCAGATATGAGTATTCTAGATTTTGACATACCATTCGCCATTATCTTCATGGCAGCTGGTGCTACTGAAGCCATAGCAACAATCGGAATCATGGCGTTTATAACATGGCAAGTTCTCATTGTCGCCATTCTCGTTATGGTAGCTGTAAACTATATTCAGGTGGATCCATTTTTCACTTGATTTGCTCAATCTCTTTGGCTAATGAGGTGAAAGAGCTAATATCTTTCTTCATCAACTGTAGGGGTATTATATGTCCTCTGCAAGGGAACTAATAAGAATCAATGGAACGACAAAAGCTCCTGTTATGAATTATGCAGCCGAGACATCACTTGGGGTGGTTACCATAAGAGCTTTTAACATGGTGGATAGGTTCTTTCAAAATTACCTAAAGCTTGTTGATACAGATGCCACACTTCTCTTTCTTTCTAATGCGGCCATGGAATGGCTAGTTCTAAGGATAGAGACACTTCAAAACCTGACTCTATTCACTGCTGCATTTTTCCTTCTTCTGCTTCCTAAAAATCAAGTTACTCCAGGTAATATCATTTCTAGTGAACAATCTTCAATGAAAAGTACAAATTGTCAAAAAGGCATTAATCTGTCTCTAAAACTTTGATCTGCAGGGCTTGTGGGACTCTCCCTTTCGTATGCTTTATCACTAACGGGAACACAAATTTTTGCATCTCGTTGGTACTGCAATTTATCAAACTACATAATTTCAGTTGAACGGATAAAACAGTTCATGCACATACCTGCAGAACCTCCAGCAATTATAGAAGACAACAGACCACTATCTTCTTGGCCCTCTAAGGGTAGGATAGAATTGCAAGAACTGAAGGTACAAAAACTAAACAGGAAAATTACTTAAAAGGATACTGAAAGTCTACGATGAACTTATTTTCTTTGAACCAATCAATGATCGAGCCATCACTAAATTTGTGTCTTATATGGCTTCACACTTTAAAATTATGCTTAATTATTATTCACTTTGATGCTTTATTTCAGATAAGATATCGTCCAAATGCTCCATTAGTTCTCAAAGGAATCTCTTGCACTTTCCAAGAAGGGACCAGAATAGGAGTTGTTGGACGGACTGGAAGTGGCAAAACTACACTCATAAGTGCATTGTTTCGCCTAGTAGAGCCTGCAAGTGGGAAAATTCTTATAGATGGACTTGATATCTGCTCTATGGGACTGAAAGATCTGAGAATGAAGCTTAGCATCATTCCTCAAGAGCCAACTCTATTTAGGGGCAGCATTCGAACTAACTTAGACCCCCTAGGCCTCTACTCAGATGATGAAATATGGAAGGTGACCAACTGATAACTGTAACATCAAAAGGTTTCAACAATGAGCTTTTTGACTCTTTTTATTTACCAAACGTTCTTGTGCAGGCTTTGGAGAAGTGTCAACTTAAGACAACAATAAGTCTGCTGCCAAACAAGCTAGATTCATCTGGTGAGTTGTAATTTAATGACTATTTTCTTGAGGTGGGGAATGTACAGATAAGATTGTCATTTTGTTGTTGTTGGATTGACAGTGAGTGATGAAGGTGAGAATTGGAGCGTGGGGCAGCGACAACTCTTTTGCCTCGGAAGAGTTCTCTTGAAAAGAAATAGAATTCTGGTCCTAGATGAAGCCACTGCTTCAATAGACTCTGCAACAGATGCCATTTTGCAAAGAATTATCAGACAAGAGTTCTCAAACTTTACGGTGATTACAGTAGCTCATAGAGTTCCAACTGTTATCGACAGTGACATGGTGATGGTCCTCTCCTATGGTAAGCTCATGGCTTCTACTTCTAACATCAATCAACAGATCCCAATTATAATCACATTACTGCAACATGTATTATTTTGTTCAAAGTTATTGTGGTAGACTGTAGTCACTTGGCTTCTGATAAATCAACTAGTTACGTAAATATTTCTTGATAATATCTGCAGGTCAATTGCTGGAGTATGATGAGCCCTCAAACCTTATGGAGACAAACTCTTCCTTTTCTAAGCTAGTAGCTGAATATTGGTCAAGTTGCAGGAGAAATTCCTATCAAAATTTTAGCAGTGATCAATGATCAGAACAAATGCACTGGCATGACAACAAGAGCAAGCCTGGGGTGTGTAACACCACTAAAGCACTGTTTTTATTTTGAATAGAAAATATTTTCTAGGTCTTCCATGAGCTGTTAGTATTGACCTAGGAAAGGTAGTGGAATCAATGTAATTTATAAAACTCAAGCTTTTTGTACCAATTATTTCTATATGAATAAAGGAAGGCTATAATAATGATAAGAAATGTAATTTCTATATAAGTATTTTGATAAGAATATTGAAAATAATTATAATTATGCTCATCGTACCAATCACCAGCTCAAGTTCCAAACCCTTTTCAACAAACATTGATTGCAATGAACACATTAATTCCCAACTCAATGATTTTAGTAGGAATAACAAATACTAAAACATCTCCTTGGAGTTAAAGTAGTCAAAGTAAATGGAAAGAGTCATGATAGAAATTAACTATTGCCACTAACCATCTCTTTGAGTTAATGCAAATTGTCTGCACCAAGGAATAGTTGTAATTATTGCAAGACAAAAGAATGAGTTAACACTAAAAATTATTAAATTATTGCAAGAAACAATTTGCTGCCATAAATTACAAGGAGATAGACAAACAATGAAACAAGTAACTGAAGGCCTTTACTTCAAACAAAGAGATCTGCTCACAACTGACAACAACCAGCTAAAGACATCACAAAAATAGTACTAAATATAAAAAGACAAATCCGTATAAATAAGCAAGCTCTGAGGATTCTTTTATGGTTATGTACTTAAAAATAAAGAAATTACTTTTCTACCAAATCTTTCCAAGAATTATAATAACCTTTCATTATTTTAATGTCATCACATGACAAAGGGTAGGTCATGGCCTACATTAACAGTAATATTAATATTCAACAACCATTTGCTAGAGGCAAATTGTGTCAGGACTCTTGCATATACACAGAGAGAAATGACAACAAACAAATTACTTTAAGCTAATATAGAGATCTAATTAGTCCTATAAGCAGCAAAGAAACCAAATGACCAAGCACAAATAGAAAAGGTGATAAATAGGTGAGCTCAAAGGATTCCACAAGTCGCTTTGGGTTTCACTTTGCATTTAATGAAGTATTGGTTTTGAGCTCCTATATAAGAGTGGTGTGGGCTGCAGCAAGAAAGAATTAAAAAGAATGATCAAAGAAGTATCTTCAATCATGACCTCCTTGGGGAGCTCACTTGGTATGTCGCATTCCTTTCGAACTGCATGCATGTTAGTTAATTGTCTTTGTAAGGTTTTATGACATTTTCAGCTCTTCGTGTGGTTCATTAGCACTATCAGATCTTTTGGTTCACCGTGAACACTGAACAAGAACGGTGAAAAAACTACTGATGCATGTTGTTCTTGTTTATATGTACATGTATTGGTGTCAACATATATTTTCTCTTTGGTACTTGAATCTTTTACCTTAAGAAACAAGAGAACAGAGATTTGAGACTGTAAAAAAATGCTGATGCAGAAATGGCAAAGGACTGAAACATCTGTTACTATGTCTACGCATACTTGTTTTTGCTTATTTATTCACTCCTCTTACTAGATGATCGAACCTTAATGTTTCTTGATTTCACAGCTTCTCCTTTTTATTCACTTTCATTTTTTTTTATTCTCTGTAGCATTTCTTGTAGCTTCTGATGTTCTACTGTCTGATGTATATGCAGGGAAAGTTCCCTGGATTTGTGGGGGAGAACTGGATCTTGGTTCTTCTTGCATTCAGAGAACCATATTAGATGTCACAAATATGTTATTCCTTTGTCTCTTTTACCTTCATTTGCTTTTAGTTTCAGTCAAAAAATGTCAAATTGGTGAGAGCAACAGAAAGGATATGATCTCTATAATTGTTTCAATCTGTTCTGCGTTTATTAGCATAGCCTATGTTGCCACAGCTTCATGGAATATAATAGCCAATGATGGATTGAATAATTTAGGGTGGTTGGTTTACCTTGTTAGAGGAGTGATTTGGATATCAGTGTCAGTTTCCTTGCTGGTTCGAACACCCAAATGGATCAAAACTGTCATCTCTTTCTGGTGGATGTCTTTCTCTTTATTGGTTTCAGCCCTTTACATTGAACTTCTGTTACAAACACATAACCTTCCAAGTTTTGACATAATAGCATGGCCAGTAAACATCTTGCTCCTCTTCTGTGCATTTAGAAACTTAATTTTTTTGGTTACTAAAAACAGTGAAGATCAGAGTCTATCCGAACCTCTATTAGTCTCCATGGCGGAGAAAACTCAGGCAGGAATAGGGAAGGCTAGCTTTTTCAGCAAACTGTGTTTTTCTTGGATTAATCCCCTGTTTTCTTTGGGCTACTCCAAAATATTAACTCTTGAAGATATCCCTTCTTTAGTTAATGAAGATGAGGCTAGCTTGGCCTCTGAAAAATTTGCTAATGAATGGGAATCCCTGGTTAGAGATAAGAGCTTGAGCAACTCTAACTTGGTTCTTCAGGCCTTAGCAAAAGTGTATTTCAAAGAAAATGTATTGATAGCTATCTGTGCATTCCTGCGGATAGTTTCTGTAGTATCTCTGCCTCTTTTACTCTATGCTTTTGTAAATTATTCAAACAATAGAGAGGACAACAGGTATGAAGGTCTCTCCATATTGGGATGTCTAGTTATTTGCAAAGTAGTTGAATCATTGTCGCAAAGAAGTTGGTACTTTAGTTCAAGGAGGTCAGGAATGAGGATGAGATCAGCTCTAATGGTAGCAGTTTATCAAAAGCAGCTGAAGCTTTCATGTGTGGGAAGGAGAAGGCATTCCACTGGAGAGATTGTGAATTATATTGCAGTAGATGCCTACCGACTGGGGGAGTTTCCTTGGTGGCTTCATTCAGCCTGGAGTCTTGTACTGCAACTTTTTATGTCCATTGGAGTACTTTTTTATGTTGTCGGTCTTGGTGCTCTTCCTGGTTTAGTCCCTCTGCTCATTTGTGGAGTCCTCAATGTGCCATTTGCAAATGTACTACAAAAGTGTCAATCTGAATTTATGGTTGCTCAAGATGAGCGACTAAGACTCACTTCTGAGGTCCTAAATAATATGAAGATCATAAAGCTGCAATCTTGGGAAGAGAAATTCAAGAACTTGATTGAAACTCGACGTGACAATGAATTCAAGTGGTTGGCAAAAGAACAGATAAGTAAAGCTTACGGCACTGTCTTATTTTGGATCAGCCCAACCATCATTTCTTCAGTTATTTTCTTGGGCTGTGCCTATTTTGGGAGTGCACCACTGAATGCTAGCACCATCTTCACAGTTCTTGCAACACTGAGAAGCATGGGTGAACCAGTTACAATGATACCGGGAGCTCTTTCCATTATGATGCAAGTCAAAGTCTCCACCGAAAGAATAAACGCCTTTCTGCTTGATCATGAGCTGAAGAATGAAGTACCAAGAATATCACTGCAGAATTCAGATACAAGTGTTATAATACAAGAAGGCATCTTTAGTTGGGATACTGAATTAACAATTGCAACTCTTAGAGATGTAAATTTGGAAATAAAGAAGGGACAGAAAATTGCTGTTTGTGGACCTGTTGGAGCTGGGAAATCATCAATCTTGCATGCCATGCTTGGTGAAATACCAAAAATTTCAGGAACTGTGAGTTACACAACTAGTATTTTGCTATATTATCAAACAATGGTTTTGCTGCTATCACTGACTTTTTTCCCCTTAATTCTTGCAAATAGGTTTCTTTATCTGGATCCATAGCCTATGTTTCGCAAACATCTTGGATCCAGAGTGGGACTATCCGGGACAACATACTCTATGGAAAACCAATGGATGGAGAAAGATACAAAAGGGCTATCAAGTCATGTGCTCTGGATAAGGACATTGATAATTTTGATCATGGTGATCTCACAGAAATAGGTCAGAGAGGGATCAACATGAGTGGAGGACAGAAGCAGAGGATCCAACTTGCTAGAGCTGTTTATAATGATGCAGATATCTATCTTCTTGATGATCCTTTCAGTGCTGTAGATGCTCAAACAGCCACAGTCCTATTCAATGTGAGACAAACAACTCAGAGATTAACTCAAACATTGAAAAAAATAAATAGTTCTTTATTTTGCTCAATTTATATTCTATGATTGCAGGACTGTGTCATGGCTGCTCTATGGAAGAAAACTGTAATCCTAGTAACTCATCAAGTGGAGTTTCTCTCTGGAGTTGATAGAATTCTGGTAAAACTCTAAGCTAAAACCATTAATGTATGTTTCCTTTTACCCATCTGTGCTTTACATTTAAGGAGAATGATTTGGTTTCTACCTAGGTCATGGATGGCGGTAGACTTACTCAAACAGGAAGCTATACAGAGTTATTGACATCAGGAACAGCATTTGAGGAGCTTGTTAATGCTCACAGAGATGCAGTGACAGTATTGGGTCCTTTGAGTAATGAAAAGAATGGACAACCTCACAATGCAGATACGCTTCAGGTGGAGGAGTTCAATAAGTCTTACCCTGCTAAACAGAACAGTGAGCATGAGATTTCTGTAATGGATCTACCAGGAGTACAACTCACAGAAGAAGAGGAAAAAGAGACTGGTGATTTTGGATGGAGACCTTTCCTTGATTATATTGTAATATCGAAAGGATATGCTTCTCTATCTTTAGGCATACTAGCTCAGTTTGGTTTTGTGATTTTCCAGGCTGCGGCAACTTATTGGCTAGCAGTTGCCATCCAAATTCCTAAAATAAGTAGTGGCTTGCTAATAGGAGTTTATACAGGAATTTCAACACTTAGTGCAGTTTTTGTACATCTTAGGTCTATTTATTCTGCCCATTTGGGATTAAAAGCTTCTAAGGCCTTCTTCCATGGTTTCACCAATGCCATTTTTAAAGCTCCCATGCTTTTCTTTGACTCTACTCCTGTTGGGAGGATTTTGACCCGGGTAAGATATACTAAGAACATTTGAAACACCTATTTTTACATATCAGCGTTATGTTACATAACAAGTTTCATAATGTCCTTTATACATTTCTCTTTCAGGCTTCATCAGATCTAAGTATTCTGGATTTTGATATACCTTTCTCCATTGGCTTCGTGGCAGCTGGTAGTATTGAACTTGTAGGAGCCATTGGAGTTGTTGCCTTTGTTACATGGGAAGTTCTCATTGTAGCCATTATTGCATTGGCAGCAGTAAAATACATTCAGGTGTGTCCTTTTTGTTTTCTCATCTCTTTCTTTTATTTATTTATTGTAACTTTTTTGCTGATGAAAAATATTCTTTTTGCCTTAAACAAAAGGGGTACTATCTAGCTTCTGCAAGGGAACTAATAAGAATCAATGGAACAACAAAGGCTCCTGTTATGAATTATGCAGCTGAGACTTCTCTTGGGGTGGTCACTATAAGAGCTTTCAACATGGTGGACAGGTTCTTAAAAAACTACCTAAAGCTTGTTGACACAGATGCTACACTTTTCTTTCTTTGTAATGCAGCCACAGAATGGCTAATTTCAAGGATAGAGACACTTCAGAATCTGACCATGTTCACGTCTGTATTTCTCCTTGTTCTACTTCCAAAAGGCTATGTAGCGCCAGGTAGCATCCGTTTCTAGAGAACAATCTATTTTCATTCGAAGAGTTTAATGTTCTAAGCTGTGAAATTTTCTCCCTTAATCTGTTATCCACAGGACTTGCAGGGCTTTCTCTTTCTTATGCTTTGTCAATAACTAGCACACAGGTTTTCTCGACAAGATGGTATTGCAACTTATCAAACTACATAATTTCAGTTGAACGGATAAAACAGTTTATGAGCATACCAGCAGAGCCTCCAGCAACAATAGATGACAAATTGCCACCATCATCATGGCCCTCCGAGGGTAGGATTGAGCTGCAAGAGCTCAAGGTGAGTAAATCAGTAGATTAATCAAGCTGGTCCTTTAAGGAAATAAATTCAATACAAAATGGCTTATCAGGAGTGGAAAATTTGTCATTTTCTTTCAGATAATAGGAACCTTGAATCCTGAATAATCCCAGCCAAAATCATTAGCAAAATATATCAACTGATTCTCAAAATCTATTTGATCCATTGAAGCTGCTTCATAGGGCTCCACTATATATGTCTGCCTTCTATATATTGCTGCATCATATACAAATGATGCTATGTTTGGATCATTTGACTTATGCATCGCTGCAGATAAGATATCGTCCAAATGCTCCATTGGTTCTCAAAGGAATCACCTGCACATTCAAAGAAGGGACTAGAGTAGGAGTTGTAGGAAGGACTGGAAGTGGAAAATCTACGCTAATAAGTGCCATGTTTCGTCTAGTGGAGCCTGCAAGGGGTAAAATTTTTATAGATGGACTTGATATATGCTCTATTGGTCTGAAAGATTTGAGAACGAAGCTTAGCATTATTCCTCAAGAGCCAACTTTATTCAGGGGCAGTGTTCGAACTAACTTAGATCCTCTAGGCCTTTATGCAGATGAAGAAATATGGAAGGTGAGACTACCGACTTCATACACAAATATAAATATGCTAAAAAGTGTTTCTTGTTTTATTCTGCCCCCGCCCCCCCCCCCCCCTCTTTTTCTGGTTGTGTTGCCTTTATAAAGTTAAAGTAGCTATACTTCATTACTTCTAGTACTACTGCATAATAGAATATTAATTGTATGCTTGATATGTTTTTATTTGTAGGCTTTGGAAAAGTGTCAGCTTAAGGCAACTATCAGTAATCTCCCAAATAAGCTAGACTCATCAGGTGAGTTGATTCCAGCAACTAAATGGTATCTCATTAATGATACATATACAAGCGAATTGTATCATGAATTTATAGCTTATACATGTATTTTCACTGATAATTAAGATGACCAATCAAGGGGGAAAATGTTTCCATATGCATCTTCCATTGAATTATGCACAACTTAAAAGCAATTGCTGATATTGCCTGACTTTTGTTGGATCAACCTTGAACAGTAAGTGATGAAGGGGAGAATTGGAGTGTGGGACAACGACAACTCTTTTGCCTTGGAAGAGTCCTACTTAAGAGCAATAAAATCCTGGTATTAGATGAAGCTACAGCTTCAATTGACTCCGCAACAGATGCTATTTTGCAGAGAATTATCAGACAAGAATTCTCAGAGTGCACAGTCATAACAGTGGCTCATAGAGTTCCAACTGTAATTGACAGCGACATGGTTATGGTCCTTTCCTATGGTATGCTCTTTATCATCTACTTTACAAAGAAATGTTTATCAATAAACTCTTACGCTATATTTGACAGTTAGGGAAAAAAATGGGGGAGAAACTATTATATATTTCCTCTGCATCCATCTCTCCTCAATTTCCTTGCTTAACTGTCTCCACCCAAAGACTACAGTTTTAGCTTAACAACATTCCTGGACCATTAAGTGCATGAAAGATAATAGACAGTTTTAGCAATTATTAGGCTTTTGGTGTTAAAGAAAACTTACTGAAATCATGGGATCGCTTGGATTTGCAGGTAAATTAATAGAGTATGATGAACCTACAAGACTTATGGGGACAAACTCCGCCTTTTCCAAGCTTGTAGCTGAATACTGGTCAAGTTGCAGAAGGAATTCCTCCCCAGCTTTCAGCGGTTATCTGTGATGTGATAATTAGATATCCATGATTACATCATGCTTTTGTAGCTTGGAGCAATGACAAATCATGGGATGGCCCTCAGCTAAGTCCCTGTTTATCATTATCTAATTTAATAGTGGGATTAGGTAGTCTTATACTTGAGGTATATTCAATTTATCCTGCAATGAAAATTATTAGTATTACTATTAAAATCATATTGCTTAAAGCATGAGAAGAACATCTGAAACTCCCAAGTTGCAGGCAATGCTAAACCCAAAAAGAAAACTACACAAAAAAAAAAAGAAAAAACCAAATTTATTGAAGAAACAGGAAGTTATTATCCCCAGCAGATATCGGCTAAACCCAAATTCAAGGACACAGAAACAAATGGGAGCATAATAGTTATCTACCCAATGGATTCATAAAAGCCTTAAAAGAATCGGTTAGAGTAGCACAATGCATGGCCCTTTCAGTCCAGAGATTATTTCTTCATGGGCTTCAAGATTGTAGGGCCATACCCATTTGCTTAGTCTGCAGTTTGCAGTTCTAAATATATTTATTTAAAAAAAGTGGCATTATTGTGCTAAATCAAGTCATTATTGTAAACAACTAGATCAATATCACTTATTTATAATCATAAAATATTAAATTAATAGCCTTTCTAGTAACTTAAATCATAGATGTGCTAAATTTACTCAAAGAAGGTTTTATGCTTTTTTTTTCTTCTATTTTTTAAAGGTTCTTTAATTTATATTCTCATATTATTTTTTTAGTACTCTATTATTATGATAAAATTATTTTGTGTAAATAGATGTAAAAATTTTTCACTTAAACATATTTTTTTTGAAAAAAATTTAGTTAGACATATTCATTAATATACTATATACTAATAAAAGTATATTAATAATTAACGTATTCATATGCAATGTAACGTTCATGATCATATAAAAATATATTTAAAACAAAAAACAAGAGATTCTACTTTTGGTAAACAAAGAACAGTTAAGGAAGTGATTGTCCACAAAATAGCACAAGTTGTAGTTTTCTTCCCAAAAAAACAAATATGCTTCACCTCAATTGACCACATTTATACCTTGTTTTTGGTCAATCATACAAATATATACCTTATTGTTAGTTATAATATATATATATATATATATATATATAATTGAAGGAAATGAAAGTCCACACCATTATATATACATGACGCTATAGTCCACCAAAACCAACAAATAAAGAAATAACTAAATGAAGCAGTTGTGAATTACAATTAGTCAACTTGATTTAGAGAGATTTCAATTCCGCCATTTCCTTCAAACTTTAATATCTATCAAATGCCCACTTGCATAATTGTTGGCTTTCTTTTATTAGAATTACGTCAACTTGCAGCAGTTTTTGCTTGTAATTCCTCTCATCCCCATAAACCAATTGGAAAATAATCATATTGAAAGAGGAAGGTAACATTTATTAATTCTTAATGGTATATACTACTATATATATATAAGCACTTGGCTAGTCACTCCCTATTATACATTTTTTTTCTTAAAGTACTTTACATAATCTTTCAAGAAAAAAGGATGAAAACAATAAATCCAAGTTGGTAATTGGTAGGGAAATTTTAGGAAAATACTTGGAGTACCCGTAATATCTTTCTCAAGTTCATATAATTTAGCCAAGTTGAAAATGCTAAGTTCCCATCTCTCTTCTTTCAACACCATCTCCTTTTTCCCCGTTAAAAACGAAAATGCTACAAGTTCACCAATATTGTAAAATTGTTCAATAAAAAAAAAAACCATATATAGTTGAAACTCATGATTAATCACCCTAAGTGTTTCTTGAAATCTTTATATTTTAAGGAAAATTAACCTTTGGAATAAGTTCTTCATCGCCTAGGAGTAAGCGATGATGTGATTAACAAATTCTTATTAGTTAAGAAAAACAAAATAATAAATACTAGATCAAATAAGAGATTGTACCGTATAAGAAAAGAGAATAAATCCTCTTCCACCCTCCTCCACTCTTTTCCAACATCCCCCATCGCCAAAAATTTCTTCTCCAAGCAAAAATCTCTCAAACCAGCTTTAACACCAAAAACAACCCCCCATGAACCCTAATCTTATAGCTTGTTACAATAATCTAACCAAAGAAGAAATCTCCAAGCTTGAGTCCATCATCCAAACTCACCATACCTTTCCTCTATCCTCAAACACATGCACGTCTTTAATAACACAACGTATAAACGCTCCCCTAAGCCTTATATGGCCATTCGTACGCGATTTCGGAAACCCTAATAAGAACAAGCACTTCATCAAGAGTTGCTCAATGAAAGGAGATGGAAGAGCTGGAAGCATAAGAGAAGTTACGGTTATATCAGGCTTACCGGCGTCCACCTGCACCGAAATGCTAGAGATATTAGACGATGATGAACATTTTTTGAGCTTTAGGGTCGTGGGGGGAGACCATAGGCTGAAAAACTATAGAGCAGTGACATCGGTTAATGAGTTTAGGGAAGGAGGGAATAAGGCTTATAGCATTGTTTTGGAGTCTTATTGGGCGGAGATACCTGAAGGGAACACTGAAGAGGACACTAAGATGTTTGTGGATACTGTTGTGAAGTTGAACTTACAAAAACTGGCAGATGTAGCCATGGCAGCTTTAACAAGGCATGAAAAAAAAGTTCCTTCATAGCAGCAGCCTTGTCAATGGAGAATGATATTGTGACGATGAAATTAGATATAATTAATGTATGTATGGAGGATGATAATGAAAATTATAACTTTTAACACATTAATTTATATTATGAATTTTAAGGAAGGTGAATTTAGTATTTAGATATTTGATCTCATTATTGTAATTTGTAAAAAAATTTTACATTGTAACTTTTTTAAAAAAAATTTCAAAATAAAACAATTGTTTTTTTTTTTTTTATTGTTAGTGAGAAATGTTTACTCTATTTATATTTATTCTAACCCCATTTGCAAATTAGGTTTAATATAATCAATAATAAAAAAGTGGAAAAATATGAAAATTTTCTATATAAATAAACACTATAATCACAATGTACTGCCAAAGATTACGCATAAATATTTTTAGATTGGAAGCTAGCCTTGGTGAAATTTTTATTCCATACATGAATAAGAAATAATTGTGGCTACGGACGATAACCTCATTGATTAGGCCGCCGGCTACCCTTCATCAGGTCTGCTGTCCCAATAATGTTCAGTAAGGTAAGTTAAAGACGGACCCCCAACCTGGATTTGCAATCTGTAAGGAAGAGAACAAAGACATTTTTGCTGTCTTCTCACAAAAGGAGAGAAGATGAGAAAAAATTACAGAACTTAAAATGAAAAGTTGATTAATGCTATGTCCCAAGCTGTAGTATAGTATAGGTCTGCATGAATATATCCAAAATAAGCAGAAAGAAGTCAACAAACTCTTCTGAATGCACGATTCGGACTCGCCTACAGACAGCCACAGGGAAAAAGACAGAAGAAGAAGAAGAACAAAATTGTTCCAATATTCTGTTTTAGTAATGACTGCGATAAGTCTTTCATTGGACATGATCAGACTCGTCCATGGGCCATGGACTATCGTGTTTAATTTGGTTCTTAAAGTTGGATGATTAATGGGCCTAATATCCGATCCAAAACTATTACCACCGTAATATATCACACCCTTCCATTCCAATAATTTTAAAATAAATGGTTTTTATCTCTCAATAATTAAATATATATTTATATTCCTCATAAATGACATCAACTTAATTAAAAATAATAATAAAAAAAACAAATAAACGTCTCGTATCTTTCAATTTTTATATAATATCTTTTTTTGAAAGAAAACCACCTACTTTTATCTTAAACAAACTAGCCATTTATCTTTTAACAAAAAAACATAACTTTTTCTTTTCTTCCAAAATATTTTTATTTTCATTATTTTTTTTCTCTTCCACCATATATATAAATATAAATATATATATATATATTCTCGAAGTGTGAAAATATTATATTTTTTAAAAAAATTAAAAATATAAGTGAAATCTCTATAGATTAGACTAGGCTGTTAAAGATGACAAAATAAAAAAATATAAATTTATATAATTATTTTATTTATTTATCCAATTATAATTAAAGAAACTTGTATAAGCACTAAAAAAATATTACTTTATGATCTATTAACTAAAACTAATTAATTAACATTTATACACAAAAAGAATGTCACAACGAGATTCATGTGAAACAAATAAAATAGAATTAAAACATTCTCCAAGATCAATTAATTGAGCTATTAAAGTCCTTAGGTGGGATACGAATTAAAAAACATTTGCTTGATTTTATGGACACATTGGATGGTTGAGAATTGGGAGCTTTCTACTTTGGAGACATTGTTGAATACATATATTGTTGACAGCTTTATATGGTAATGATTGATCCAAAAACAAATCCATGAATGCTATGTGTCAAAAAAAAAAAATAGCATCCCCATTTCCTCATGCTTTCCTTATTTGATATATATATATATATATATGTTTTGAAACATTATGATAACATTTCTTAACTAATTAAGCTTTTGATGAAATGGTTATTAAAATAGATAGATGTGTTTTTCTAGAAAAAATACTTTACTGTATTCATGAAGTTATATTCAAGTATCATGTATAATCTAATTTAATTATGTTATGCAACTAGCTTTAAAATATAATATCTAATGGATTAAATTCAAATCTTATCTCTAGAAATAGATAAAACAATCAAGAAAGAAATTAACATATAGTTAAATAAATCTTATATAAATTGAATCAAATCTATGTAGAGGACTTGAACATAAAATCTTAAGATTCTAAAATCTCTTTTTTATCATTAAATCAAAACCTCATCAACATGAAATTAATATAAAAGTTAATGCAATTCCAAGATAAAATTACTTTTCATAATATGTTATTTCGATAAAAAAGTACACAGCTATTCAATTATTTGACGTTTTTCAACTAATAAAACTACAGATTACTGCATTCTACTAGAGCTAAAAGACATGAAATTGTCAGAAACTAATTTGACAATCTTTAGTGAATTCTAATGTGGAACCAAGAGGGTCTGTGAGAAGGCTTCACTGGCAGCGCCTGGCATTAATGTTTGTAGTATGCAATCTGAATACAACTGAGCTGTATTGCCAGCATTAATGTTGTTCTTGGCAATGGAAATCCTGCTAACAAGGTGAAGCAACACATGCTCAAAGTCCTCTCCATTGCTCCATTCGCAAACTTCTGCTCTTATTAGCCTCCTGTTTTTGCAAATCAAGTCCCAAACTGGGAAATTTTTCCTTGGCATTACATAGTCTCCATCACCAAGCTTCAAACTTGGGCAGAAATCACCCATCCCATCACCGAGGTAGATTATTTTTGGTTTCTTCTCCTCCATGGTTAGAGAAGCTTGAATCCTTTCAATCACAATACCCTATATACCATGAACGAATTAAACCATGCATAGTCAATTAAAATAAGTAACGTTATAT